TGCGACAGAATAAGAACAGAAGACAAAAAAAGCACAATACCGTGACTGGAACAATACACAAATAACCCACACATAGGAGATGGATTAGATTTTGCCACCAAAGTGGCTAGTTTATTGTGCACCGCATATCCATCCTGTGACCGGTAGAGCAAGAGCATGTGGATACACAAAAGGCCCAGGAACTAGGCCCCAAAGGGTTAACATGAATACATATGGATTATATCTACATACCTATAGTTCACTTATTTGTTACAAGCAAATTTAGGAAATTTGCTTAGTATATCTGGTATCTTATTTTCATTAATAAGATATCTTGACATTTCACATAGGTTATTATACTGTCTGTCTCTGTATTTCTCAATAAGTGGACAATTAAGCACATAGTGTTCAAGAGTGACCATATTAGCCTGATCACAATTTACATTTAGTTTGATCAACTGCCAGAAGTACTTGTAACCAAGCCTAAGCCTGGCCACTACAACATCAGTCAGTCTGTTCACATTGCAAGTTGCTCCATAAACATACTTATCTACGTTCATGTTATCATAGTGGGTTATAGATCTACTCAGGCTTCTAACTGCATTCCTATAACAATCATTTTCATTATTTACTTCTCTCCTAATATTATTATTAATGCTAGACACAGATATACCAAAGTTATATTCTACGTTCTCCTTCTGGGTACTTTTCTTGGCTAACATATCAACTTTATCATGAAGGAGTAATCCAATGTGTGATGGGATCCATAGCAATTGTACATTAATTCCATTGTCCCTGATTTTTGAGTATCTATACCTGGCTTCTCTAATGAGCATGTTGTTGGAGTCATTATATGAGTTAAGAGCCTTCAATGATGACATAGAATCAGTAATGATAAAAGAGTGAAGCTCAGTGTCATAAATTAGCTTTAGCGCCATTAGGATTGCAAAAAATTCAGTTTGCAGTGTAGACGCCAAGTTGTTAATTCTTGTGCCTAGTTCAACAAGTTTATTATGGTTCTTAACTAGGGAGGTGGCAACAAGAGCAGATGCAGCCCTGCCAGAAGACTCCTGTTTAGATCCATCAGTGTACATTACTTGTGATAAATTATTAATACCAGCTAGGAGAGAAATTTCTTCTTGAGTATTTGCTTTAACAAGTGATTTAAGGAAGGGATTACTAGCAATGAGTTTCTTGGGAGGGACTTGCAGGTATGTGATATTAAATGAACACATCTTCCACGGAGGGGTGAAATGCTCTCGTTGCCTACAGTGATACAGTTCATGCAGGTTATAAAAGTTAATGCAATTGGACGTTTTCACACACATAGGAGAAGGAAGCTTATGACGACGTTTCGGTCCGGCTTAGACCAATGACTAGTCTTTCTATGCGTGAGTTACTTGTGTACAAGAAACAAGATTGCAGAGGTCACAGTGGGTCTGTATCAGAGTCCACGGGGTTTAGTTGAATTATAGAAAATATATTACAATCATTTCATATTTTACAATGTCTTCGAACACAATGCAATAAGGAGTTGTAATCGCAAAAATAAAATATAACATGTAACCCAGTGATCACGTCTTTGCTGGCGTCCAGGGTGTGGGTGGTGAGCAGGGCGCACCAACCACAATGTTACACCAGGGTGTTTATACTTGACTTTAGAGTAATATAAGAGGACTATGGTGTTCCGTTCAGTCATTTCTTTTCCATCGTAACGCTGGGTAATAGAGATATCAGCAGATTTCACCAGGTTGTGCCTGGTGTTACACTGCGTGTCCTGTCCTCTCTCACCAGGCACTGAGAATTATCACTTACTGAATGTAGCGCCGAATTTACTATTACAAGGGAGTCTTGAGACTGTGTTCTCCTACAAGGGAGTCTTGAGATTGTTGTGTTCTCCTACAAGAGAGTCTTGAGACTGTTGTGTTCTTCTACAAGGGAGTCTTGAGACTGTTGTGTTCTTCTACAAGGGAGTCTTGAGACTGTTGTGTTCTTCTACAAGGGAGTCTTGAGATGTGTGTTCTCCTACAAGGAAGTCTTGGACTGTTGTGTTCTTCTACAAGGAGTCTTGAGATGTGTGTTCTTCTACAAGGGAGTCTTGAGATCTGTTGTGTTCTCCTCACAAGGGAGTCTTGAGACTGTTGGTGTTCTCTACAAGGGAGTCTTGAGACTGTTGTGTTCTCCTACAAGGGAGTCTTGAGATTGTTGTGTTCTCCTACAAGGGAGTCTTGAGATTGTTGTGTTCTCCTACAAGGGAGTCTTGAGACTGTTGTGTTCTCCTACAAGGGAGTCTTGAGACTGTTGTGTTCTTCTACAAGGGAGTCTTGAGACTGTTGTGTTCTCCTACAAGGGAGTCTTGAGACTGTTGTGTTCTCCAACAAGGGAGTCTTGAGATTGTTGTGTTCTCCTACAAGGGAGTCTTGAGACTGTTGTGTTCTTCTACAAGGGAGTCTTGAGACTGTTGTGTTCTCCTACAAGGGAGTCTTGAGACTGTTGTGTTCTTCTACAAGGGAGTCTTGAGACTGCTGTGTTCTCCTTCAAGGAAGTCTTGGGACTGTTGTGTTCTAAGATGAGGTCGTACGACCACTCAACCAGCTGGTCTTACCAAGTGGGGCCATTTAAGCCATATACATTATCTTAATAGCAAACATCGAACTTAAGCTAAAGGAATCTTATAGGAGTCAAGAATCGCGGGAAGAACTAAAAGCCATAAATGAAATCGAAAGAAACCCAAAGTATTTCTTTTCCTATGCCAAATCAAAGTCGAGAACAACGTCCAGTATTGGGCCCCTACTTAAACAAGATGGGTCCTACACAGATGACAGCAAGGAAATGAGTGAGCTACTCAAGTCCCAATATGACTCAGTTTTTAGCAAGCCGCTAACCAGACTGAGAGTCGAAGATCAAAATTAATTTTTTATGAGAGAGCCACAGAATTTGGTTAACACAAGCCTATCCGATGTTATCCTGACGCCAAATGACTTCGAACAGGCGATAAATGACATGCCCATGCACTCTGCCCCAGGGCCAGACTCATGGAACTCTGTGTTCATCAAGAACTGCAAGAAGCCCCTATCACGAGCCTTTACCATCCTATGGAGAGGGAGCATGGACACGGGGGTCGTCCCACAGTTACTAAAAACAACAGACATAGCCCTGCTCCACAAAGGGGGCAGTAAAGCAATAGCAAAGAACTACAGACCGATAGCACTAACATCCCATATAAAAATCTTTGAAAGGGTCCTAAGAAGCAAGATCACCATCCATCTAGAAACCCATCAATTACACAACCCAGGGCAACATGGGTTTAGAACAGGTCGCTCCTGCCTGTCTCAACTATTGGATCACTACGACAAGGTTCTAGATGCACTAGAAGACAAAAAGAATGCAGATGTAATATATACAGACTTTGCAAAAGCCTTCGACAAGTGTGACCATGGCGTAATAGCGCACAAAATGCGTGCTAAAGGAATAACAGGAAAAGTTGGTAGATGGATCTACAATTTCCTCACAAACAGAACACAAAGAGTAGTAGTCAACAGAGTAAAGTCCGAGGCAGCTACGGTGAAAAGCTCTGTTCCACAAGGCACAGTACTCGCTCCCATCTTGTTCCTCATCCTCATATCTGACATAGACAAGGATGTCAGCCACAGCACCACGTCTTTCTTTGCAGATGACACCCGAATCTGCATGATAGTATCTTCCATTGCAGACACTGCAAGGCTCCAGGCGGACATCAACCAAATCTTTCAGTGGGCTGCAGAAAACAGTATGAAGTTCAACGATGAGAAATTTCAATTACTCAGATATGGTAAACACGAGGAAATTAAAACTTCATCAGAGTACAAAACAAATTCTGGCCACAAAATAGAGCGAAACACCAACGTCAAAGACCTGGGAGTGATCATGTTGGAGGATCTCACCTTCAAGGACCATAACATTGTATCAATCGCAGCTGCTAGAAAAGTGACAGGATGGATAATGAGAACCTTCAAAACTAGGGATGCCAAGCCCATGATGACACTCTTCAGGTCACTTGTTCTATCTAGGCTGGAATATTGCTGCACACTAACAGCACCTTTCAAGGCAGGTGAAATTGCCTGACCTAGAAAATGTACAGAGAACCTTCACGGCGCGCATAACGAGATAAAACACCTCAATTACTGGGAGCGCTTGAGGTTCCTGAACCTGTATTTCCTGGAACGCAGGCGGGAGAGATACATGATTATATACACCTGGAAAATCCTAGAGGGACTAGTACCGAACTTGCACACGAAAATCACTCACTACGAAAGCAAAAGACTTGGCAGACGATGCACCATCCCCCCAATGAAAAGCAGGGGTGTCACTAGCACGTTAAGAGACCATGCAATAAGTGTCAGGGGCCCAAGTCTGCTCAACTGCCTCCCAGCATACATAAGGGGATTACCAACAGACCCCTGGCAGTCTTCAAGCTGGCACTGGACAAGCACCTAAAGTCGGTTCCTGACCAGCCGGGCTGTGGCTTGTACGTTGGTTTGCGTGCAGCCAGCAGCAACAGCCTGGTTGATCAGGCTCTGATCCACCAGGAGGCCTGGTCACAGACCGGGATGTGGGGGCGTTGACCCCCGGAACTCTCTCCAGGTAAACTCCAGGTAATATACTTAACGAATTTTATGCTTAGAATTACACACCTTTTTATGAATTTATGATCCAAATTCCTTACCATCTGAGAGGCGAGCGATAAAACTCACATTTGAGCGAAACAATGTGACGTAAAGGCTCGTATTACCCTGTGTTTCTTTATTACCATTATGTTTCGGCTCTGAGCGGTTGAGTTGGTTTGCAAACTCCACCTGCTAGTTCAGTCTATCTTGCAATGGGTGTTACTGCTATATCCATGCAATCGTTGCAACATGTGTTAATGATGATAGCTGTTGAGTTGAGTGTGCAACCACTCTACTTTACCAAGTGTAGATTCGTCGATTCAAGGGTGATAAGGCAGATAAGGTGAGTAATTTTTTCTGATAGTGTATCAGGGGCGTCGACACCAGGATCTACACCACTTCTCAGTAAGCAGTTTGTGTACCGTCTGTGATGCAACACCTCACATCTCCTCCACAGGTACCTTCATACTTACACAGGTGCCTTCATACCTACACAGGTATCTTCATTCCTGCACAGGTCCGTATTTGCACAGGCTTCTCCCTTCCTGCACGAGGTGTTGCCTCTTCCTCTGAAAACTGGTCCAACTGCTGTACTGATGGGACACTGGTCCAACTGCTGTACTGATGGGACACTGGTCCAACTGCTGTATTGGTGGGACACTGGTCCAACTGCTGTACTGGTGGGACACTGGTCCAACTGCTGTACAGGTGGAATTTCCATCTTGGTGTGTCAACACAAGGTGTGGAGCAGTGTCTGGGCCCTCTGCAAGGACGGCGCATCCGTACTGATGTGAAGCCTGTGGATCCATGGTGTTTGGGTTTGCTGGGAGCAATCCATAGCCTGAACACTGGCCAGCCTCAGCTTGCGTAATTCTCGGTGTGGTTGAGGCGCCGTCTCGAGTTTGGTGTGTATGTGAAGTGGACAGGTGGGAGAGTTATCTGGATGACGGTGGTCTCTAGTACGTTATGTGTGTTTCATAAGTGCTCCACACTCACCATGAGTGATGATGCTAGTCTAATGTGCTTCATAAGTGCTCCACACTCACCATGAGTGATGTCGCTGGTCTAGAGTGCTTCATAAGTGCTCCACACTCACCATGGGTGATGATGCTAGTCTAATGTGCTTCATAAGTGCTCCACACTCACCATGGGTGATGATGCTAGTCTAATGTGCTTCATAAGTGCTCCACACTCACCATGGTGATGATGCTAGTCTAATGTGCTTCATAAGTGCTCCACACTCACCATGGGTGATGATGCTAGTCTAATGTGCTTCATAAGTGCTCCACACTCACCATGAGTGATGATGCTAGTCTAATGTGCTTCATAAGTGCTCCACACTCACCATGAGTGATGATGCTAGTCTAATGTGCTTCATAAATGCTCCACACTCACCATGGGTGATGATGCTAGTCTAATGTGCTTCATAAGTGCTCCACACTCACCATGGGTGATGATGCTAGTCTAATGTGCTTCATAAGTGCTCCACACTCACCATGAGTGATGATGCTAGTCTAATGTGCTTCATAAGTGCTCCACACTCACCATGGTGATGATGCTAGTCTAATGTGCTTCATAAGTGCTCCACACTCACCATGGGTGATGTCGCTGGTCTAGAGTGCTTCTCGAGTGACAAAATTACGAAAAATTTATACACGAAAGTGGAATGTAAATATTTATATTTAAGTTGCGGTATTTATGAAATTGATTAAAAATTAGTTGATACGTTATGTGGGGAATTATCCAGATGTTGTGAACAATTACATTGTGATAGTGGGCGCTCAGGTACCGAGGTGGGTTGTACCTGCTGCCCACACGCACTCAGATATTGTGGTGGGTTGTACCTGCTGCCCACACGCACTCAGATATTGTGGTGGGTTGTACCTGCTGCACCCGCGCACGCACGGCTGCCCCGTGTACTTCTCGTGTGTGACAGTCCATGACTCGCACCACTGTACAACACACTTCTTTGATGGTAGGACTCGGTAACTGACTCACAGGAGTCGGTCAACTAGTTTACATTGACTGGTCGATTCAGTTTTCAAGGACTCTCGTATTTTCCTTCCTGGAGTATACCTGGAGAGGGTTCCGGGGGTCAACACCGCCACGGCCCGGTCTGTGACCAGGCCTCGTGGTGGATCAGGGCCTGATCAACCAGGCTGTTACTGTTGGCCGCACGCAACCACAGCCCGGCTGGTCCGGCACTGACTTTAGGCGCCTGTCCAGTGCTGCTTGCTTGAAGCAGTCAGAGATCTATTGGTAATCCCTCTTATGTATGCTGGGAGCAGGTGAAAAGTCTTGGGCCCCTGACACATATTGTGTTGTCTCTTATCGTGCTAATGGCACTCCTGCATTTCATTGGGGGGATGTTGCATCGTCTGCCGAGTCTTTTGCTTTCATAGGGAGTGATTTTCGTGTGTAAGTTTGGTACTCTCTAGGATTTTCCTAGTGTATATAATCATGTATCTTTCCCGCCTGCATTCTAGGGAGTACAGGTTGAGGAACTTCAAACGGTCCCAGTAATTGAGGTGCTTTATCTCCGTTATGCGCGCCGTGAAGGTTCTCTGTACATTTTCTAGATCGGCAATTTCACCTGCCTTGAAAGGTGCTGTTAGTGTGCAGCAATATTCCAGCCTAGATAGAACAAGTGACCTGAAGAGTGTCATCATGGGCTTGGCATCCCTAATTCTGAAGGTTCTCATTATTCATCCCGTCATTTTTCTAGCAGATGCGACTGATACAATGTTATGGTATTTGAAGGTGAGATCTTCTGATATGATCACTCTCAGGTCTTCCACTAACTTCTACAAATAAATAACAAACTATATTTTTCAGACTACAAATACCTCTTACAAAAATACCCAACATACATTTAAAAAAAAAAGTTGGTTGTGTAGAGCATTTCGGACTAAAACTAGAATTTATATAGCTTGGCGCTATGTGTAGTTGCATAACTGAAGTTAGATTACATAAATGCTAGTGTAAGGTGTCTGTAGATAAGATGTTGCAATGATGTCTTGACTTTAAATTTGTCATGGGCAACAGACAACCAGTTTAGTTCCTGGGGAGCTTCATGTAGGTCATTGATGTAGATGAGAGATAACAGAGGTCCCAGGACTCTGCCCTCTGGCACTCCTCTCTTGATAAGTATTGTCATTAGTGTCCATCGTTGAGGTAGGACTTTACGTCAGTGAGAGGCCGGCCTCTCGTTCAACAAGGTTTTAGTTTCAGCAGCAGGATGTAGTGCTCTCCTATACCAAAAAAATTCTTGGATCAGTAAAGAGGCTCACTGGATATTCTTGATTTCCCATTCATGCATAGACTGACTTGATCATTTTTATGATTGCATCATTCGTACTTCATAGTGCCTTGGAGGACTAAAAAAATATTATGTTGAATTATGAAAGACTACATTTCTTTATGCATTGTGTTTCAAATTTCAGTGCTAATATTAGCACTGAAGACGAAACATTCTGCAAGAGTGCTAATATTAGCACTGAAGACGAAACATTCTGCAAGAGTGCTAATATTAGCACTGAAGACGAAACGTTCCGGAAGAGTGCTAATATTAGCACTGAAGACGAAACGTTCGGAAGAGTGCTAATATTAGCACTGAAGACGAAACGTTCCGGAAGAGTGCTAATATTAGCACTGAAGACGAAACGTTCCGGAAGAGTGCTAATATTAGCACTGAAGACGAAACATTCTGCAAGAGTGCTAATATTAGCACTGAAGACGAAACGTTCCGGAAGAGTGCTAATATTAGCACTGAAGACGAAACGTTCCGGAAGAGTGCTAATATTAGCACTGAAGACGAAACGTTCCGGAAGAGTGCTAATATTAGCACTGAAGACGAAACGTTCCGGAAGAGTGCTAATATTAGCACTGAAGACGAAACGTTCCGGAAGAGTGCTAATATTAGCACTGAAGACGAAACGTTCCGGAAGAGTGCTAATATTAGCACTGAAGACGAAACATTCCGGAAGAGTGCTAATATTAGCACTGAAGATGAAACGTTCCGGAAGAGTGCTAATATTAGCACTGAAGACGAAACATTCCGGAAGAGTGCTAATATTAGCACTGAAGACGAAACGTTCCGGAAGAGTGCTAATATTAGCACTGAAGACGAAACGTTCCGGAAGAGTGCTAATATTTGCACTGAAGACGAAACGTTCCGGAAGAGTGCTAATATTAGCACTGAAGACGAAACGTTCGGAAGAGTGCTAATATTAGCACTGAAGACGAAACGTTCCGGAAGAGTGCTAATATTAGCACTGAAGACGAAACGTTCCGGAAGAGTGCTAATATTAGCACTGAAGACGAAACGTTCCGGAAGAGTGCTAATATTAGCACTGAAGACGAAACATTCCGGAAGAGTGCTAATATTAGCACTGAAGACGAAACATTCCGGAAGAGTGCTAATATTAGCACTGAAGACGAAACGTTCCGAAGAGTGCTAATATTAGCACTGAAGACGAAACGTTCCGAAGAGTGCTAATATTAGCACTGAAGACGAAACGATTCCGAAGAGTGCTAATATTAGCACTGAAGACGAAACGTTCCGGAAGAGTGCTAATATTAGCACTGAAGACGAAACGTTCCGAAGAGTGCTAATATTAGCACTGAAGACGAAACATTCCGGAAGAGTGCTAATATTAGCACTGAAGACGAAACGTTCCGGAAGAGTGCTAATATTAGCACTGAAGACGAAACATTCCGGAAGAGTGCTAATATTAGCACTGAAGACGAAACATTCCGGAAGAGTGCTAATATTAGCACTGTAGACGAAACGTTCTGCAAGAGTGCTAATATTAGCACTGAAGACGAAACGTTCTGGAAGAGTGCTAATATTAGCACTGTAGACGAAACGTTCTGGAAGAGTGCTAATATTAGCACTGAAGACGAAACGATTCTGGAAGAGTGCTAATATTAGCACTGTAGACGAAACGTTCTGGAAGAGTGCTAATATTAGCACTGAAGACGAAACGTTCTGGAAGAGTGCTAATATTAGCACTGTAGACGAAACGTTCTGGAAGAGTGCTAATATTAACACTGTAGACGAAACGTTCTGGAAGAGTGCTAATATTAGCACTGTAGACGAAACGTTCTGCAAGAGTGCTAATATTAGCACTGTAGATGAAACATTCTGCAAGAGTGCTAATATTAGCACTGTAGACGAAACATTCTGCAAGAGTGCTAATATTAGCACTGAAGACGAAACGTTCTGGAAGAGTGCTAATATTAGCACTGTAGACGAAACGTTCTGGAAGAGTGCTAATATTAGCACTGTAGACGAAACGTTCTGGAAGAGTGCTAATATTAGCATTGTAGACAAAACGTTCTGCAAGAGTGCTAATATTAGCACTGTAGACGAAACGTTCTGCAAGAGTGTTAATATTAGCACTGTAGACGAAACATTCTGCAAGAGTGCTAATATTAGCACTGTAGACGAAACGT